TTAGCAATACAATACATTTCTCTCTGAACAAGGAAAATGATGAACAGATAGATATATAGATATTGGGATATTTATCGAATCATTTTTCGCAATCAAAAGTTTCATATGCGTCAATATTTGATATGGCAGGACAATCATCAGGAGAGACTGGGCGAAAAAGGGCACATAGATAGATAGATAGATAGATAGATAGATAGATAGATAGATATGAACAGACCGAGTTACACAGATAGCTAGCTAGTTATATTTTATATATATATATATATATATATATATATATAGACAGAGAGAGACAGAGAGAGAGAGAGAGAGCGATAGATAGATAGATAGATAGATAGATAGATAGATAGATAATGTACAGACCATGATAGATAGATAGATAGATAGATAGATAGATATGAACAGACCGAGTTACACAAATAGCTAGCAAGTTATATATATATATATATATATATATATATATATATATAGAGAGAGAGAGAGAGAGAGAGATAGATAGATAGATAAATATGAACAGACTGAGTTACACAGATAGCTAAGCTAGTTAATATATATATATATATATATATATATATATATATATAGATGAATAGATAGATAGATAGATAGATAGAAGAGAGAGAGAGAGAGGCGATAGATAGATAGATAGATAGATAGATATGAACAGACCGAGTTACACAGATAGCTAGCTAGTATATATATATATATATATATATATATATAGACAGAGAGAGAGAGAGAGAGAGCGATAGATAGATAGATAGATAATGTACAGACCATGATAGATAGATAGATATAGATAGATAGATAGATAGATATGAACAGACCTGAGTTACACAAATGGCTAGCTAGTTAAGTTATATTTATATATATATATATATATATATATAGAGAGAGAGAGAGATAGAGAGAGAGAGTTGATAGATAGATGGCTAATGTACAGACCATGATAGATAGATAGATAGATAGATAGATATGAACAGACCGAGTTACACAGATAGCTAGCTAGTTATATATATATATATATATATATATATATATATATATATATATATATATATATATAGATAGATAGATAGATAGATAGATAGATAGATAGATAGACCATGATAGATAGATAGATAGATAGATAGATAGATAGATAGATAGATAGATATGAAGAGACCGCGTTAGATAGATAGGAACAGACTGTGACAGATAAATAGATAGATAGACAGACAGACAGACAGACAGATGGATAGGTAGATATGATGGATAGAGACCATGTTAGACAGAAAGATTGATAGACATGAAACACTTATAGTTTTAAGTTATGCAATATTTATGGTGTAAAGCGTGGGGGGTGAATATCAGGGATAGACCATATGTAAATATAAAAGTGGATACTGAGGTCAATGCTTAGTGATGACTGCTTAATGACTAAACGAAATGATGGATGGCCTGAAGAAGAATACTTAAAAGTATGCAACAGATTTCACCGACTAGTGTTAACCTCAGTCTACACTTATATAAATATACAGTGGAACCTCGGTTCACGAATTTAATTCGTTCTCCAAGGCCGTTCGTAACCCGAAGTTCGTAAACCGAAACTATTTTTCCAATAGGAATCAATGTAAAATGGATTAATCCGTTCCTGGTCCCAAGATGATTGCTTATTTAAACTTTTACAGCAGTACTTTAGGCACAGGTTTATACACAAAACTAATGAAAATCATTAAATGAAAAAAAAAAAAAAAAAAAACCCAATACTAAATAGATAAAATATAGAAGAACATTTTAATTTTAGCGTACCTTTAAGTAGGAGAGTTGATGGCGTAAGTGGAAGGGGGAAGAAAGAGATGTTATTGTTTGGAAAGGGAAAGGAAAGACATGATCGTCTCTTTATTTATAAGAATCGTATAGATCGTTGATTTTGCCATATGAAACTGAGTAGGAAGAGACAATATCATCAACAATAGTTTTTTTTTTTCTTAACTTTTCTTTTTCCTTTACTAGTATCACTGCTAGCTTTCTTTGGAGCCATGACTGAAAACTAATAAAGAGAAAAAATGTCACAGTACAATAAAATTGGAAAAAAACAAAAAAAAAACCAACACAGCACAACACACGAATGTATTCAACATGGCGGTCGACTAAGAAATGATTCCGTTCGGGTTAACTCGGTTCGGCTCGGTTCGGCTCGGTTCGGCCCGGGGCGGCAATGTTGTTCGAGAACCGAAATTTTGTTCGATAACCGAGACATTTTCATCTCGAATTTTCTGTTCAAAAACCGATTTGTTCGACATGTGAGACATTCGAGAACCGAGTTTTCTCTGTATTATATTATAGTTCGATGTTGTTAAAAATCTGAAAGAAAAAGAAAAAGAAAAAATTCATTAGACGCTTAAACTTAATGCACATTTAAAATCGGTCCAAATTATTGGAACACCCAATATTTATACTAAATGCAACTGGAAGTCATCGCAAGAAAAATATTAATGAAATTAATATTTATATAATTTGAATTTATGGCATATAATTTTACTGAAACTGTGAAGGTTTTGTTAATTGATTAAATATGGATCAATAATTGTTGAGTAAATTAGGCTGCGTGATGTATTAATTAACAATTTCCTCTCACATTAAAATTTCCGTATTCAACAAACATAGAATAAGAACAAACATCAAAAACAACAGTTTTTTTTTGCACAACAATGAATAAAATATTTATATAAACAAGAGTTACAAACAATTGGAGTAAAAAAGAGGTAGTTTAAAAAGTTTCAAGCGTCCTTTTATGTTTAGATTGAAATGTTATCAATGTTCTGGTTTGATAGATTATAAGTTGTTGAATGGTCTGTACAATAATGAGAAAATGTGTTTGGGTATTATTGTAATTTAAGGAAAAATAAACAGTTCATGTTTGTACTTAAAGTAGAGAAATATTGTTCACGACTTACTTTAAGGTTTACGAAGTTGTCGCTCTTTGATTTCTTTTCACTTATCGTTTGAAGAGAATATTCTGTAGTTGGAGTAATTGATTCTTAACAAGCTGTGTTTATGTTAATTGCAATAATTAACGTTGAGCGTATGACAAAGATTCTTGTGAAAAACTTGAGTTGATTGTTCGTGATAAAATATTGCTGTGTGAGAAAGGGTTCTTTCAGGCTGGAATCATTTTAAGGAACTTTAACGTAAAGCCTGGAACTGTGTGACGAGTTCAAAGGATTCCGATCGGCTCATTGTCGAAGATGAAAGACGTTTCATATTTATTACTAACTTTGGTCACGTGATAGGCTCACAGAGGATTGACAGATTTTGGCGGAATTATTTTTTGGTCAGGTCAAGAACTAGGTCGATGTTATTCGAACATGACTTAAATATTAAGTGACCAATCAGAAGTAGAGGTTTTCTGAAAATATTTATTAAGCTGAATAAACTCTGTAATTCACTTTTTGTACAAAAATTGATATTGATAAAAAAAAAGGTGGTAGCGGGATGCTAAAAAGCAAAGTACTATAGTGGAACCTCGGTTCACAAATTTAATTTGTTCCTGAAGACTTTTCGTAACCCGAAATGTTTGTAAAACGAAACTATTTTTCCAATAGGAATCAATGTAGAGAAAAATAGTCACAGTACAATAAAATTAGAAAAAAAAAAAGAAAAAAAAAAAGAAGCACGGCACAACACACGAATGTATACAACATGGCGGTCGACTTAGAAATGATCCGTTCGGGTTAACTCGGTTTGGTTATGTTGTTCGAGAACGAAAATTTTGTTTAATAACCGAGACTTTTTCATTGCAAATTTTATCGTCGAAAACCGATTTGTTCGACATGTGAGACGCTCGTGAACCATGTTTTCTCTCTATATATATATATATATATATATATATATATATATATATATGGAGAAATATAGCCTTAAGATGTGCTATATTTATGGGATATCAGAGATAGAGCGTGTGTAAATATAAAAGTGAACATAGAAGTGAACACTTAGAGGCGACAGTCTTTTTCATGCTAGACACAATCATCAGGCCTGACGATTGCGTCTAGCGAAAACAGACATTGCCTCTAACACTTCACTTTCATACACACACACACACACACACACACACACACACACACACACACACATATATATATATATATATATATATATATATATAATTATTTTTTTAAAAAATATGAGCACTGTTTTTTAAAAATAAAAACAAAATACTAAAAGAACTCCGGATTATTTACCTAAAGTGTTCTTTCCTATTTTTCTACATATCTACATACACACACGCATACATATATATATATATATATATATATATATATATATATATATATATATATATATATATATATATATATATATGGAGAAATATCGCTTTAAGATGTGCTATATTTATGAGATAAAGTGCCCAATATCAGAGATAGAGCGTGTGTAAATATAAAAGTGAACATAGAAGTCAACACTTAGAGGCGACAGTCTGTTTCATGCTAGATGCAATCGTCAGGCCAACGATTCAGTCATCAGTTGCCTGACGATTGCATCTAGCATGAAAACAGACTGTCGCCCTATTGACTTTTATGTTTATATATATATATATATATATATATATATATATATATATATATATATATATATATATATATTATAATTATTTAAAAAAAATATTAGCACTATTTTTTAAAAATAAAAACAAAAATACTAAAGAACTCCGGACTATTTACCTAACGTGTTCTTTCTTATTTTTCTACATATCTGCACACACACATACACACACACACACACACACACACACACACACACATATATATATATATATATACTTTTTTCAATATTTATTCACTGTGACATTGGAGTAAAAGGATTTTATATCTAGACTGGCTATGATTTTGTCAGTCGTATTTATCTCCCTTAGTTTTTCAAAAGTTGCCTGATTTTTTTTTTAAATGTGATGGACTGATTTTACCAAGTGTGTATTTGTGTGTGTGTGTGGAGTGGGGAGCATCTATCCCAATCAAAAATAAACCTCTCCCTACGAATAGCTTAAATAATAGAAATCTGCCATCTCATCACCAATCAATACTATTTCACATTTAACAATGATTTTTATAAACAAAAAATTGGATTAACAATGGGATTCCTTTTAGAGGAATGATAGCCTTCTTCAGATGACAGGTATTTCGAATCGAACCTTTTATTTCGTCCACCGGGGCAGATTGTTCTAGTTCCACGTGTCATGCCTCTTCCGGATATCTCAGTATCAGTTATCTCCCCTTTAACTCAACTCTCCATGTTTTTGTTCACTTCTGCTATTGAACTCACAACTCTTTGGGTCAATTTATTTTCTGTTGTGGAAACGATTATTTTCTTACAATAGTCAAGGTGAAAATGAGACACTTCTGTTGTGAAAACAACAATTTGCTTCGGTATCTGTCTATATTTCTGAGATGAGGTATTATGTACACTATTTACATTATTCGGACTATTGTCCTCATCTTTGTTGCCATATTTATTACAACGTTTTGGCCTTTCAGTATCTGTCTATATTTCTGAGATGAGGTATTATGGACACTATTTACATTATTCAGACTATTGTCCTTATCTTTGTCACCATACTTATTACAACGTTTCAGCCCTTTAGTATCTGTCTATATTTCTGGGATGAGGTATTATGTACACTATTTACATTATTTGGACTATTGTTCTCATCTTTGTCGCCATATTTATTGCAACGTTTCGGCCCTTCAGTATCTGTCTATATTTCTGAGATGAGGTATTATGTACACTATTTACATTATTCGGACTATTGTCCTCATCTTTGTCAACATATTTATTACAACGTTTCGGCCTTCTTCAGGCGGTTAGGACACATGGCACAGTGGATAAAGGCATTAGTTAGATCCAGTGACAGGACCCAAAGAGTGTGAGTTCAATACCTGGTTAAGGCAGTGGAGAACTTTCAGAGGGGAATTAACAGGAGATAACTGATAACTGACATCCATTAAACATGGCACATGGAACTAGAACAGTCTACCCCAGTGAGCAAAATAAAGGGTTCAGTTTGACATTCCAACCACCTGAAGAAGGCAGGAGCATATAATAGCTGAAACGTTGTAATAAATATGGAGACAAAGATGAGGACAATAGTCCAAATAATGTAAATAATGGACAATTTGCTTGTCAAGACTTCGTTGAGGAGTGGGTTTCTTTGAGTATCAGATGTTTTGGAAGGCGCCACTTATTCCTCAATGTCACGTCTCCCTCCGACTCTATGGTGGGTCTGCAACTCCTGTTGATGGTGGTATTGCAAGGATTTTTATAGCCAAAGGTCAACATCGATTTCCTCCAAAAATTTTGACAGTCAACACAAGGATTTCAGATTTCAACCGACTCGAGTAGCCATTGGTTAAAAAATCAGGTTTATCAAAACAAATTATTGTAGTAGGAAAAAACACTTCTGTTTTTGAAAGGGAAACAGAAGTGTTTTTTCCTTCGCCTTGAATAGACATCCCTCTACTCCTTGGTTGAGGAGATCTGCAGGGAGGCTGGCAAGGTTCAGGCTTCAGTAAATTATTTTAGTACCGTCATCCTCTCCCCTAAAGTACTGAGAATTGAAATTTACTTAAGTAGAAAAAATGTGTGATATTTAATAGCAAAAAATGCAATGGAAACACAAGCAAAAGGAAAAACAAAATTTAAATGAAATCGGCTAGATTATATAGCCAAAACACACACACACAAACACACACACACACACACACACACATATATATATATATATATATATATATATATATATATATATATATATATATATATATATATATATAAAATTTCAGCATTTCATGTGCATGTGCAATCACATCATCAACATAAACACAAACTTAGTACCGATGAGGTCCTAAAAGACGAAACACATCACACGAAACCTTTTTCACTTTGTCATCTTTATTTACCCTAATCAATCTATCTATCTATCTATATATATATATATATATATATATATATATATATATATATATATATGGTGCGATGGATAAATTGTCGTCTAAATACCTCAAAAATGAAAATAACACTGGCATCTTATTTTAACAGATATATTTACAAAAATAACACAAAAATATTTTGAAATACTAAAGAGCAAATTTATTCAAGAAAATCGCCATTGGCTACAACCACGGCTTCCAGATGAGTTCAGAACCTCCTGCAATTTTCTGGACAGTCTCCTTGTTTAAGTTGGTGAATGCTGCCATAAGCTTTGCCTTCAGTTCTTTGGTGTTACAAGGAGTTTTATTGGTCTCTCTCCGAACTCTGCCCCACGCATAATAACCAAGGGGTTGCAGTCTGGAGAGTTAGGTGCCCAGATGTAAGGCGTAATGTGATCGCAGAAATTGTCTGGCAGCCATGACTGGATTTTCCTGCTTTTGTGGCATGGTGCAGAGTGTTTTCCAGAAGCCACCCTCTTGATCCAGGGTAGCACTACCTCCCCAAGGCACTTGATGGTAGGCCTCCCTGTTGAGTCTGAGGCCCCATGGGTAGATGAATGTAGACAACATCACCATCACTAGTGATCACTCCAAACACCTTCGTAATCACCATTAGACTCATCCAACTCCTTCCGAATCCTCTGCACTGTCCTTATATTGACACCAAAATACATTGAAATGTTCATATTTGAGATTTAGGTGTGAATGCTAATCAGTAGAGTATGCCATTTCCAAATTTCTGGCAAAGTGAATTGCATTGTGGTGCTTTTCTTCTCAAAGATGGTGGTCAACTGACCCTACTGTACTGCACAGTCGACAAAATCAAAAACAAACAACATGCATGAACAAAATTAAAAATATAAAATGGTGACAGTTTACTCATTGCATTCTGTATATATATATATATATATATATATATATATGAAATAATTTCATCCCTAAGCAAGGCAATATAGCCACTAAGACGCAAGAGGTTACTGACTTTGAAAATATATATATATATATATATATATATAGCATAATGAGAAGCACGTATACTTTCTTAATATATATAGAAAAAGTTGCAAATTAAAAAAATAATAATGTTTTTTATGAAAGTATTTATTTATTTATATATATATTTGATATTTCAGATTGACCTCAATCTTTCTTCAGAAATAACTGTTATTTCTGAAGAAAGATTGAAAAATAATTTTTTTAATTTGCAACTTTTTCTATATATATATATATATATATATATATATATATATGTATACTTAAATGGAGTATAAATTTGTGAGAATGAAATAAGTGTATATATTAGATATTGTATTTATCGATACAATTTGACATTGTAGTATGTGCATTGAATATTATTATTGTCTCAATTTGAGATTAAAATTTGAATTAAAAGTTCCTTGAATTTTCAATGTTAAATTTTTTTCATTTTTTTACATGAGGCTTTTATTCTTGTCACTGGAATTTTACCTACTTTTGGAATAAGAGGCTTAAATTTTGTCTGCTAGTTTTTTTTTGGCATGCCACCTTTTATTAAACTGGGATGGCTTATTCTCACCATAATAGATCTTTTTGGCACAATTCACAAATATGAAAATGTAGAAAAACATTTGAATGAGGAAAACTTGACATCCATGTAAAGAGACATCATTATCATTATTATTATTATTATTATTAATATAATTATTTTTTTTGATTTCTGGCATTTACACATTTCTTTCCGGGTCCCGCCCAGGGACCTAAGGTTAGAAATGGCAGCATGACACTTTCCACTAACAACAACAAAAAAAAAAAAAAAAAAGAAATTACATAGATAAAGACCTTCGTAAAGTGTGGGCTGTACTTGTCAGAACAATTTTTTGTATCTCGTTGAGGCATGGACTTCCAGGAATCCCTTCAATTAATCTACTGCAATCTTTTCCAACCATTCATAGTGCTTCAACTACAACAGGGATTGTTGATGTTCCCATATGCCACATTTTCGAGATTTCTATTTCAAGGCCCTTGTATTTTAACAGCTTTTTGAATATCTTCAAAGATACATTGCAGTCAGCAGGGACTGCCATAATTATTATTATTATTATTATTATTATTATTATTGTTATTTTTAGCCTGTAGGGGAGAATGCAACAATTGTGGGCAATCATGCTTCTTTTCGATTCATGATTGCCGATAGTTTTGTGTAAATAAATGTAATGAATCTGACTGGAATTTGAAATTGGCTCTCCAATTTCTCGGCTGACCAGACTCAATGTTGCTTAACTTCAGCACTGGTGTTTCAATGCAATGTAGGCATAAGCTCAAACAGAATAGTGGCTTTTATCTTGACCCCGTTATTATTTTAACTACCTTCATTCCTCGGCAAACTTGGACAGAATACCAAAAGGAAAATAAATTTAAACATTTTTTATCTTGATTTAGAACAAAATTATTATTTTAATTACCTTCATGCAAGAATAATTTATATTTAAAATTTTATTGTTTTAAAAAGCCAAGATTAAAATTATAATAAATCCTGAACCTGAGATGAAAATAGAATTTAAACATTTTCTTTTTTCTTGAGAATTTAGAACAAAATATTAAAAACTATTTATATTAGAATTTTTATTTGCAAGAATAATTTTATATTTACAACATTCTAAATACTAATTCAATTAAAACTAATGCAATATTTATCATTTACCAATTTGTTGTCAATAGATAGATAGATAGATAGATAGATAGATAGAGAGAGAGAGAGATAGATAGAGAGATAGATAGACAAAAAGATAGATAGATAGATAGATGATAGATAGATAGATGAATAGAGAGAGAGAAAGAGAGAGTGATGGAAGAGAATGAGAGATAGATAGATAGATAGATAGATAGATAGATAGATAGGAAGAGAAATAGATAGATGGATGGATAGATAGAGAAATAGATAGATAGAAGATAGATAGAAAGAAATAGATGGAAGATAGATAGAGAGATGAGATAGAGAGATAGATAGAGAGAGAGAGAGAGAGAAGATAGATAGATACCTGAATGAGATGAAGAGAATGAGATAGATGGATAGATAGACAAGATAGATAGATATGAATAGATAATAGAAATAGATATGAGAGAGAGAGAGATAATTGTGTGTACCTGTGTGTGAAAAAGATAGATAGATAGATAGATAGATAGATAGATAGATAGATAGATAGACCAAGAGAACAATATAGATAGAGATGGATAGATAGACAGAGTAAGAGCAATTAAAACTGTGTGTGAAAAATGGATAATAGATAGATAGATAGATATCATTTATCAATTGAAAAAAAAAAAATACATAGATGAAAAACAATATAGATTTTATTCATAAATGCAATTATAACTAATTTATAAATCATTAAAACATATAAAAAACCAACTTTCAAAACAATTTGCATAATTTATAGACATAGGCAATTAAAACATAAAACAACTGGTTCAAGTTTATATTCAACTGAGAATACAAGGTTTGCATATAGTGTCCTTTTATAGTCCCAGTAAACAGAAATAGCTCTCTCAAAAGGGAGAGTAACAAAACAAGGGGAACATTCTTGATTATTCATAACACAACTATAAGGAAATCTTTATTATTTACCATTTTATAAAGTTTGAATTGATTGGCAATTAGCCAATGTTTTGCCAAACATTCCAATAATCAGTCTATTATAATAAATAGTGTAACTAAACAATCTAATAAATAGCGTTTATTATTTTTGCTGTCGATTTTCAAGAAAAAAGAAAATACATAAATTCACTTTCATATGTTTAGGTTTTATCACAATTCTAATCGTCACATTTTAAGACAATAAACATTGCTGAGGAGTGAAGGTAGTTAGAATAATAGCAGTGTCAAGGGAAAAACCATCCTTTTGACAGTTTTTTTTTGTGGATACAAAGGTCAAAAAATGAATATTGTCTTTTATCTGTTAAAGCTAAAGAGATGGGTCTCTGTTCTTTTTAAATTGTGTTGCTTTTTAAATTGCATGGATCTCCAACTGAAGTTCCGGATTTTTCTTAGTAGATATGTATAGGTTTCATCCAATTGTCTTTCAAGACAAGCAGATAATGTCCAAAAATATTAAACACTATTTATTTATTGAATTGTTTATTTACAAGAATGATTTTATATTTACAACATTCTAAAAACTAATCCATTTATCATTTACCAATTTATAAAGAAATAAATATGAAAACAATTTTTTGTTCATAAATTTAAAAACAAAATTATTAAATTATGTGAAAATAAAATAAATATAAAAACAATTATTTGAAAATAAATAAAATAAATATGAAAACAATTATGTGAAAATAAAATAAATATGTAAACAATTTTTTGTTCATAAATTTATAATCAAAATAATTAAAGTATGTGAAATTTAAAAACAAAATTATTAAATTATGTGAACCAACTCTAAGGAAATCTTTATTTCCCATTTTATAAACTTCAAATCGATTGAAAATTTGCTGATGTTTTGCCAACCATTCAAATAAAAAATATAGTAAATAGTATTTATTATTTTTGTTGCCAAATCTCAAGAATAAAGAAAATGTCTTAAATTGACTTTCATCATATGTTTAGCATTTATAACATTTCTAATCATCGGTTTTTAAAACAATAAACATTGCTGAGGAGTGAAGGTAGTTAAAATAATAATGGTGTCAAGGAAAAACCGTCCTTTTGACACTCCTTTTTCGAACAAAGGTCAAAGTTTGCCGAAAATTCTTTGGTCGATGTAGGAAATATCATTGGAAATAATTATTATAGAATTTTCAAGCCATAGCAAGGGAGGCAACTTCAACCAGCATTTCAGACCAGACACAGTTTTTTTACAGTTCTATTGAGTTTTAGTTATTATTTTCAGCTAAGACTTTTATTCTAACTTTTATTGATATATTCCATATTTTTCCGACAGAAATAATCAAAATATTTATACAAATTATCTTAATAAAATTCTAACTGAAAGAAGCTAAAATTAGAAAACTCTAAACCATTCAGAGTAGCCTCCCTTGCAAGACACACGTTTTATTTAGTAAAAAAAAATGGGTTAAAATTTTTTTGTTTTGTTTTTAATCATTTCACCCCAAGTAAGGCAATAAAGCCAACAAGACACAGCGGTGGTTACTGCGTTAAAGAATATAAGAAAATAAATTATTAAGAAGAGAAAACAATAAAAGAACAGGAATTAAGAAGACAGAAGTATAATAATTGCCTTTAACTTTTGAGGATCAAAGTTGACTATAAAGCAAGAAGCTGGAAGAGATTTCCACAAGAAAGAAATGCGATAGAAGAAACTGTTAGCATAGAACTTACGGCGACATCTAACCAATTCAACTGTAAAATGATGAGACCTTTCTGCCAATCTAGTACTGTGCTTAAATTCATAAAGTCTAGGTACCAAAGAGGAAAGTTCATCCGAACAATTACCATGAAAATATTTGCAGAAAAGGCACATTACAGCAGTGGGAAAGTAACTGAAGCCGAGATACCAGGTCAGGACCAATAACATTGCAGATACTTCTTTGAAATTCATCAAGAATCTCTAAGTCTATAGTAGAAGCAGCACATCAGCAATATTCAAAGCAAGGATGAATGGTAGAATTACAAACATGTACAATAGACACTTATACTGAACATCAAAAAGAGAAGGTTGAAATTTCTGGAGCACATAATGAGAAAAGAGGGCTTGGAAAATTTGGCACTCAGAAGACAGTTTGAAGTGAAGGGGAACAGATGAAAGCAACACATAACCTACGTAGCAAGATATTTGTAAATGGATGGCAGAACAAGGTTTAAAAGAGGTACCAAAAAGACAAAATTTATTAAGCGCTACAAAGTACAAAAAAATTGTGGAGAGCCATGATTGCCAACGCCCTGGACGGACACATCATATAGAAGAAGAATAAGAAAGTTGAGAAAAATTCAGTTAGTTTCGTTTGAAACAAAGAAAAGAGTACTGTACTTTTACATAATATCAGTCCTATATGGCAGTAAATGCTGGACAATCTCCTCACAGATGAAGAAGAGACTTGAAGCAAGAGAAACAAAGAAAAGAGTACTGAACTGTTATGTAATATCAGTCCTCCTATATAGCAGTGAATGCTGGACAATCTCCTCACAGATGAAGAAGAGACTTGAAGCAAGAGAAACAAAGAAAAGAGTACTGAACTGTTATGTAATATCAGTCCTCCTATATAGCAGTGAATGCTGGGCAATCTCCTCACAGATGAAGAAGAGACTTGAAGCAAGAGAAACAAAGAAAAGAGTACTGAACTGTTACGTAATATCAGTCCTCCTATATGACAGTGAATGCTGGACAATCTCCTCACAGATGAAGAAGAGACTTGAAGCAATATAAAGAAAAGAGTACTGAACTGTTACGTAATATCAGTCATCCTATATGGCAGTGAATGCTGGACAATCTCCTCACAGATGAAGAAGAGACTTGAAACATCAGAAACTAAGAAAAGAGTACTAGACTGTTACGTAATATCAATCCTCCTATATGGCAGTGAATGCTAGACAATCTCCTCACAGATGAAGAAGAGACTTGAAGCAAGAGAAACAAAGAAAAGAGTACTGAACTGTTACATAATATCAGTCTTGAAGCAAGAGAAATGTGGTGCTACAGATGGATGCTGAGGATATCATGGATGGGAAATATGAACAATGATGAAAGCAAAAAGCAAAAAGAACACTGACTCTTAACAACAAGAAGAGAGTTAAAATTTCTAAGGTACATAATGAGGAAAGATGGCTTGGAAAAATTGACACTCACAAGACAGATTGAAGTTGAGAGAAACAAAGGAAATTAGTGCATATACTACAGAGCGGGGTTTAGGAAAGATAGCAAAAAGACAAAATTTACACAAAAGCTACAAAGGACATGTAATTGTGGAGAACCATTATCATCAACATGATACATGGAATATATAATTATTTTTTATTATTAATTATATTATATATTATATATTATACATCCATGATATATATATATATATATATATATTATATTATACATCCATGATATATATATATATATATATATATATATATATATATATATATATATATATTCTGTTTATACATTATTTGTATGGATATAACTTATTTCAGTAAATGCTATATTTTTAATTAAACAATATTATTTAGGTTGGTAAATGCAATTAATACTGTTTAATTAAAAACAGAGCATTTACTCAAATAACTTGTATCCCTAAAATAACGTATAAACGTATAAAAATATTTGTCAGATTTAATCCATTTCATATAATATATATATATATATATTATAAATTAACTATTTAAAATATGTTTTTTTTTGCTACACAGTATTGAAATTTGCTTAAGGATGAAATGGAACTGTTTTAATTTAATTACAGAATTAAATTCGAAGCTTTTAGCTTCCATTTTGGAAAAATGGTTAATACAGTGTAGTGAAAAAAGCATATTTTAAATCAGTTAATTTATAATATTAATGCTCTGTAAATTTACATTGAGCATGATTTTGTAAAAATAAAAATACCAATAAGAACACTGGATTATATATCTTACTGCTCTTTCTTTTTTTATTTATTTATACATATATATATATATATATATATATATATATATATATATAATTATTTTTATAAAAATTATAACATAAGTATGTTATAAAATCACTACAAAAAATAGCCATTTTGTTTCAACACACTCTGTGTCTTATCAAGTGATGATGTTGAAAAGAAAAATAAATGGTTTTAAAAGTTTCAGATTAATTAACGATCCTACACCAGGGGAAACATAGTTACAAAAGCTAGAATAACCAATCAAAAATGAAGTATAGAAAGATTCAAAAGCTTGACAACGAAATCCTGCTATAATAGCTATTCAGATCTTTAAATACGTGTAATATTAAAATAATTTATACTAACTAATAATTATAAATTATATGATAAAATTGGTTAATATTAAAATTAAAACTGGCAATTTTAAAATCCAAATTTAATCACTATTAAGTTTAAAACTACAAAATTATTGAGAAAAAGAAAAAAATATATGTTTATTCAATTCATTTCTTCATTGAAATTACGTTCGACAAGACGTTTTACAATACATCCGTCATTTGACAATATATGTATATATTTTTTTTTTTCCTTTCTTTTCTGTTTTATTTTAAAGTTTGTGAATGTGGTCTTAAACTCACGCGTAAAAAACAATAAAAACACAATCAGATTATAATACATAAGCACCCAGACATAATTAGATACACACACACACATACACACACACA